CTTTATTTCAAAACACTTATGTTGAGCATCTTAGTAGAACTTCCTCCGATCATGCCCCCCTTCTTAATATTAAGAATATGATTCTGCTATTTTTGCTTCTTTTCGTTTTCAAAATATATGGCTTTATTCTAATGATTTTTTTTTTTTGTGAAAGCTAATTGGTTATCCCCCATTTCATTTTTATGACTGTTCTAATGACATAGTTTCATTCGTTATTAAACTTAAATGTCTCAAGCAAGTGATTAGATGGTGGTATAAGCATATTTATTATAATATCAAAAAAGCTGAAAAGAATGTTATTATTCTGAAAAATAATTTTATGTCTAGCAATTCTGAAGAGAACAAAGCTCTCCTAATTCAAGCTAAAAGTTTACTCTCTGATTTGGATTCTAAAGAAGAAGTTTATTGATCATCAGAAAATCATTTTTGAAGGGGATAGGAACACAAAATACTTTCATACTCGTGCAAACAATAAAAAGGTTAAGGCCACTATCCATAAAATCAAATTGGGTTGTGCCGGTCTTGGTTGGATAATGATGATTCTATTTCTTATTTTGTTGTGACTCATTTTAAGAATATTTTAGCTCAGTGTAAGAATGTGGAGTATATCTCCAATCCTTCTTGTATTCCTTCCATTATTTAATTATGATAATAGAATGTTTTGTAAACAAAGATTTCGTTGCTGGGCGTGATGGGTCCATCATTGTTTTTTTTTATTCAAAAAAGTTGGAATATTGTTAAAAAATGATATTTGTAAATCTATTAAGGGGTTTTTCATTGGTTCTCCAATTCCTATGTTTTTTTCCAGAACTTCTATTGTCTTTATTTCTAAACGTGATAATCCTAAACATTGGAGCGATTTTAGACCTATAGTTTTTGTACTACTTTTAATAAGATTATCTCTAAAAATTTTGCTTCTTGGATGTCTTTAATTCTTCCCAATACCATTTCCATTAATCAAACCAGCTTTGTTAACAGGAGGGGGATTGCTAATCATATTTTAATTGCTCAAGAGATTTATCATAATATTAACTATAAGGTGCCCGGTCAAAATATAGTTTTAAAGTTGTATGTTTACAAAGCCTATGATAACATAAATTAGTCCTTTATTTATTGTATTCTAAAACTTTTGGTTTTTCTGACAAGTCTACCAATTTGAATAGTAATGTTATTGAGAATGTAAGGTATTTTGTTACTATTAATGATAAGTCTCATGGGGTTTTCAAAGGTGATTAAGTTGCAGACAAGATGATCCTTTATCCCTTGATCTTTGTATTATTTGCTGTTGAGTGTCTGCCTTGAGACCTTCATTTGATCTTCTCCAAGTACAAAGGGTTAAATTATTTTAAATGTTTTAATGACGCTCTCGGATTTTTATCTTAAAAAAAACTTATATATTCTCGTAAAAATCTATATATTAAGCATTTCTTAAGCCATTTTGATGCTTGATCAATGATAAGAAGTTCTTGGCTAACAATGATTAGAATTTGCTTTGACCATAATGATTAATGTATTAATCCAATAACGGAGAAGCAGACACGCATGCATGCAGGTTTAATCCATAGGACTTGTGAGATTAATAAATTTCATTTACATAAATCATTTTTTTAGATTTTCAATTAATTCTTATTTTGTTGTGACTCATTTTAAGAATATTTTAGCTCAGTGTAAGAATGTGGAGTATATCTCCAATCCTTCTTGTATTCCTTCCATTATTTAATTATGATAATAGAATGTTTTGTAAACAAAGATTTCGTTGCTGGGCGTGATGGGTCCATCATTGTTTTTTTTTATTCAAAAAAGTTGGAATATTGTTAAAAAATGATATTTGTAAATCTATTAAGGGGTTTTTCATTGGTTCTCCAATTCCTATGTTTTTTTCCAGAACTTCTATTGTCTTTATTTCTAAACGTGATAATCCTAAACATTGGAGCGATTTTAGACCTATAGTTTATGTACTACTTTTAATAAGATTATCTCTAAAAATTTTGCTTCTTGGATGTCTTTAATTCTTCCCAATACCATTTCCATTAATCAAACCAGCTTTGTTAACAGGAGGGGGATTGCTAATCATATTTTAATTGCCCAAGAGATTTATCATAATATTAACTATAAGGTGCCCGGTCAAAATATAGTTTTAAAGTTGGATGTTTCCAAAGCCTATGATAACATAAATTAGTCCTTTATTTATTGTATTCTAAAACTTTTGGTTTTTCTAACAAGCCTACCAATTTGAATAGTAATGTTATTGAGAATGTAAGGTATTTTGTTACTATTAATGATAAGTCTCATGGGTTTTTCAAAGATGATTAAGGTGCAGACAGGATGATCCTTTATCCCCTGTTCTTTGTATTATTTGTTGTTGAGTGTCTGTCTAGAGATCTTCATTTGATCTTCTCCAAGTACGAAGGGTTAAATTATTTTAAATGTTTTAATGACGCTAGCTCTAGGATTTTTATCTTTTAAAAAAAAACTTATATATTCTCGTAAAAATCTATATATTAAGCATTTCTTAAGCCATTTTGATGCTTGATCAATGATAAGAAGTTCTTGGCTAACAATGATTAGAATTTGCTTTGACCATAATGATTAATGTATTAATCCAATAACGGAGAAGCAGACACGCTTGCATGCAGGTTTAATCCATGGGGTTTGTGAGATTAATAATTTTCATTTACATAAATCATTTTTTTTATATTTTCAATTAAATGCAACAAAATATGATTGCATTTATTGAGCTATTTCTTAAACCGAAGTTAAGATAAATACATACAACCATCAGAATGGTGAAGATGGCCATTATAACAATCAAGGGAAAACACTCATTTACCTTAACTGTTGGAAAATAATATAACAACAACATCAACAACAAACGTCCACAAATGTAAGGGTGTTAATTTCGGGTCACGGGTCGGGTTTGGATCGAACCCGAAACTAACCCGACACTATTCGGGTCAACCCGAACCCGACCCATTTTTAAAAACGGGTCGGTTTCCTGGACCCGAACCCGACCCGCTTCGGGTCCGGGTCAACCCGACCTGACCCGAATGACCCGTTTTCAACCGAAAAATTGCTAATTTTCGGGTCAAAACGGGTCAATCTCCTCTTTTCGGGTCAAAATTGGGTCAATCTCGGGTTGGCGGGTCAAAATCGGGTTTTCGGGTCAATTTTGGGTCAAAGGCCAGGTTAACCCGAACCCGACCCGATTTTTGAAACGGGTTGAAATATTGAACCCGAACCCGACCCGTTTCGGGTTCGGGTTGACCCTAACCCAAAATTTTCGGGTCGGTTCGAGTCAGGTTTTCGGGTCGTGCCAAATATTGACACCCCTACACAAATGAAAATGGCAAAGTTGAACAAAAAATAAAATAGAACAGTAAAAACACTCATCAAAGTTGTACAAAAATTCCTTTAGGACAATGAAGTAGAAAACTAGAAAGTGCTCATGCAAAGCAACAATCTCGATCTATTCTTCGAGAAAAAAATGATCGAAATCCTTCTATAAAATCCATAAGATTTATGTGATGAAGACATAGTGGGATAAATATTATCTATAAAAAACCATGATTACTAAAAGAAAAATATAAGCTATTGAACTTCCTCTAAATATGGGATCAATGATACCATGTTAAAAAAGCTATAATAGTCATGTGCTTTACACAATTGAATGATATGTTAAAACAAGTGTACATATATATAAACAATTTAAGAGAGTAATTAAAAAAATGCAATGAATGAAAATATTCTTAATAATTATGTTATATTTAATAATAATGATAATAAGTTCCTACTATAAATATATATTTGACATATATTGTAATATTTATATGACAATGAATCATTTAAATAATTATTAAGTGATTTTCATAATGAAAAGAAAAACATAGTTGTCTTCACTCATCATTAATACATGCATAATAGGTAGTGTATTAAATCCAATTTAAATCAAATGAAATCTTTTGAGATGCATGCATGTTAGATGTCTCCATTCTATAAATTTATCAAAATAGTTTGACTTAGGAAATATACTCCTTAATTTCTAATTTAAAAATCTTAGGCACCAATCTTAATGGTTTTATAACTTTAATGAATTTCTCTATATTCTACATAAATTTAATATCTGTTTTTGATCTTAAATGCTCATCTTATTTCTATAATAAGCCTTCTATATGCTCTCACCTTATTTCTATAAAATGAATCAATTGATGGGCCTATTAAGATAGACGTAATGCAGAAGCAATAGGGAGAAAAACTTCCCAATACTTTTAAATAAGAAGGACAAATATCTAGATAGAACCATTTGCATAAAATAAGAATTATTTACCTCTAATATTTATTACATTGATTTATTCTGAAAATCATATAATGTAAATTTCTTTTGAGATGGTATCACATAGCATGGTAAGAATTCTTTTTAAAAGATCTAAAACATGTTATAGTGTATGTACCCTATTTAGACAGTGAGTGGATTATGACTTATTTGAGAGATTGGTACGTGCGGAGTCAAAACACAACTTTCGTCCATACTCTAATCAAAATAGTTCACATCGCCTATACAGACTATATACAATTTATAAACATTGTGTGTATAATCTATATACTATAATAGATGATGTGAAGCTTTTCCATTGAAGCCCAGATGCCATCCGCACTCCGCACCTAATAATTTCTCGTCTTATATAGACCAAAAGTGGGAGGAAAGCATGTATACTCTTCCAAGATATTTTTCATCGTGGTGAAAGGATTACAATGACTATATTTTTTTGAGTATATGACGTCGAGGTTGGAGGAGTTCGCACAGGGAAGGGTCCATCGAACCAAAAAACAAATTTATTTTAAAACTTATGTAGAAAATATTTTTTGATTGAGAAATATTTTATAATAATATAATATAAATTATTTCTATATTATATTACTATTAAAATAAATATAAATCTAAACATTATATATATATCATAATTATTTTTCAACAGAATACTCGAACAAAAATTCTTTTCAATATATAACCGTCTATATGACTCCAACTTCCTGTCCATCTATTTCGGAAAAGAAAAAGCTCTATATGCCCCTTTCTTCTTGTCCAGCTCTCACTCTCCCCCGTCCCTCAAGCTGTTTCTTCCCTCGAAGCATTCCCATCAACAAGCCGAAACCCTACTCCGTCTTCTTCAAGGTATTTATTACCTTCAAGCCGAAACCTTGATTTCTCATTTCAAAATATCATCCTTTGAAGCTTTTTCATGACCGTGTCTCTCGTCTCTGTAGCTATTTATCAGCAATGTCGGATTTGGTTCCATCCGCCATTTCCAAGCCGCCGCGTGCCGCGCCCTCTGCGACTCTTCAGACGGAGAAATCGAAGGAAATGCGGGATTGGAGATCGCCAAAGGTGACGCCTTTTCTATTCTTAACTTCATGGAACAGCGAGGGGTTCGCCCGAATTTTCACACCTATGCATCGGTACTTGACACTTTTTTTAGTTTAAGGTCCCTTAAAGGAGTTCAAAGAGTTCATGGAGTGATTATGAAACTGGGTTTTGATACACAGAGCGTTTTATCCGATCGGCTCTTTAATCTTTACTATGTTCTTGGTGATTTTGCTAGTGCAAGCAAGGTGCTTGTTGATTTGTCTCTTAGAAGTGTTGCTTTGTGGAATAGGATGATTGCCGACCATCTTCGGAAAAATGAAAAAGCTCAGGTCATAAGCTTTTTTATGAATTTGTTGAGAGAGTTCCAGAGCGTTGATCCTGTTATATTTAGTGGTGCTTTGAGAGCCTGTACTGGCAACAGTGTCTTTTGGCCTCTTGTTCAGCAGATTCATGGTAAGATAATTCGGATTGGCTTAACAGCCGATCCTATTGTTTGCAATCCTTTGATTGATTTATATTCAAAAAATAAGAGTATAGACTCTGCAATCTTGGTTTTTGATGAAATGTGTTCAAAGGACAATGTGTCATGGGTTGCCATGATGTCTGGTCTTTCTCAAAATGGACTTGGAAAAGAAGCTTGCAATCTCTACTTTCAAATGCATCAATCTGGAATTATTCCCACTCCTTATGTTCTATCGAGTATCCTCAGTGCTTGTACCAAGACTGAACTTTTCGATCAGGGAATGCAGATTCATGCCCAGTCCTTGAAGTGGGGATTCTGCGCCGAAACTTTTGTCGGCAATGCACTTATCAGCTTTTATTCACGAAGTCGGAGCTTGGAATCCGCCGAGAAAGTATTTTATGAAATGTCGAATCGTGATGGTGTCACATATAACTCCATGATTTCAGGATATGGAATGTTTGGAAATAGTGAAAGGGCTATATGTGCTTTTAAGGAAATGGAGAGTTCAGGCTTTAAACCCGACTCGGTGACCATTGCAAGTCTTCTTTGTGCTTGTGCTTGTATTGGAGCAATTCAGAAGGGCAAGCAGCTTCATGCCTATGTGTTGAAAGCTGGCTTGTCTTCAGATTATATTATCGAAGGTTCTTTACTCGATCTATATGTAAAATGCGCGGATATAGATACCTCGCGTCAATTGTTCGATTCAACAAAGAAAGAAAATGTGGTGCTCTGGAATGTAATGCTTGTAGCTTATGGACAGATGGGTGATCTAAGTGAGTCCTTTAATCTATTCTCTGAAATGCTTGTAGCTGGTTTGGAAGCAAACCAGTACACCTATCCAAGTATACTAAGAACATGTACTTATTATGGAGAACTTGATCTTGGTGAGCAGATTCATTCCATGACCATAAAGACTGGTTTCCAAATGAATATCTTTGTCTGTAGTGTGTTAATAGATATGTATTCCAAATGTGGAGTGCTGGAAAGAGCTAGGCAGATCCTTAATAGACAAACAGAGAAAGATGTGGTCTCTTGGACGGCTATGATCGCCGGTTATGCCCAGCATGAGCATTATGTAGAAGCTCTGAAAACATTTGAAGAAATGAAATTTCATGGTATCAAACCAGATAATATTGGATTATCAAGTGCAATTAGTGCTTGTGCTGGACTAAAAGCTGTTAGCCAGGGATTGCAGATCCATGGCCAGGCTTGTGTTTTGGGTTATTCTACTGATCTATCAATCGGAAATGCCCTCGTAAACCTTTACGCTAGGTGTGGTATGATCATGGAAGCTTATTCTGCATTTGAGGCTAATGAGGTTAGGGATGATGTATCATGGAATGCATTGATTTCTGGATTTGGACAAAGTGGTCACTATGAAGAAGCACTAGTAGTGTATAAACAGATGAGTCAGAAGGACATTAAAGCTAATTTGTTCACATATGGTTCAGCTGTTAGTTCTTCAGCTAATATTGCAGATATAAAGCTAGGCAATCAGATACATTCAAAAATGATCAAAACTGGTTATGACATGGAGATAGAAGCTGCTAATTCACTAGTTTCATTGTATGCCAAGTGTGGAAGCATTGGAGATGCAAAGCTTGTGTTTAACAAGATGCCCGAGAGGAATGAGATTTCTTGGAATGCCATTATCACAGCATATTCGCAACACGGACGCGGGAAGGAAGCCCTGCAACTCTTTGAGCATATGAAGGAGGAGGGCCTCAAGCCAAATCATGTTACATTCATTGCTGTTCTAACAGCTTGTAGCCATGTGGGTCTGGTAACCGAGGGCCTCAACCACTTCGATTCGATAAGCAAGGAGCATGGACTTGTGCCCAAGCCTGAGCATTTTGTTTGCGTCGTGGATCTTCTTGGACGGGCTGGACAATTAAACCGTGCGCGAAGATTCATAGATTCAATGCCTGTCACCCCAGATTCAATGATATGGAGGTCTCTTCTTGGCGCCTGCACAATCCACAAGAACATCGAGGTCGGCGAGTTCGCCGGCCATCGTCTTCTCGAGTTGGAACCTCATGATTCAGCCACATATGTTCTCCTATCAAATCTATATGCAGTGACAAGGAAATGGGAATGCAGGGATAGAATGAGACAGGTTATGAAAGATAGAGGAGTGAAGAAGGAGCCTGGACTAAGCTGGATTGAGGTGAAGAACGAGATCCATTCATTCTTTGTTGGTGATCGCTTGCATTCACTAGCAGAGGCAATCTATGAACACTTGGAAGAGTTGAACAAAAGGGCGGTTGATATTGGGTATAAGCAAGACAAATACTGTCTTCTGCAGGAAATTGAACAAGAACAGAAGGATCCTACAGCTTGGATACACAGTGAGAAACTTGCTGTTTCCTTTGGGCATATGAAGCTGCCACCTGAGGTACCTATACGGGTTATTAAGAATATTCGTGTCTGCTCTGACTGCCATAATTGGATGAAGTTTATCTCACGAGTTGTGGGTCGTGTGATTATACTGAGAGATTCTTACAGGTTCCACCATTTTGAAGCAGGGGATTGTTCTTGTGGAGATTATTGGTGAAGATATTCTAATTTATTAAGGGAGATGAAGAAAGGATGGTGATTGAGATTCATTGGGAGGATTTTTTGACTTTGTTGATATCAACAATTTGAAGTTGGTTGAAGAAAAAAAAAGCATTGGTAGGAGAATGTGGTGGAGATGGATGGTCTTTCAAAGCATTTTTTGAATATCGGGCGAACGGAAAATCCACTCCTAAAATTTCAAGTTCAGATCAACTTGTGTAAGATTTGGGTGACCAAATGAAAAAAGAAAGAAAATGATCATGTCTTATTGGGTAGGGTTATAGTCAACCGATAAGAATAATTTAACTATTTTATTTTTGTAATGAAAAATAAATATTAAATTACAATTATGATTATTTTTATTGAATTATTGAATTCAAATCAAATAATCATGTCCATTTTGAGTTGAATTGACATTATTGCTATAAGTTGCTCTTTTAGTATTTGAAACCTCAATGTTATTTTAGTTTTCATGAAAGGTTTTTTGTAAAGAAACTTAAAGAAAAATATGAATATATTCATTTTTTTTTATAAAATTAACTTCATATAGCAAATTTGAAGATAAACTAACCATAGAAATCAAGTTTAAATTTAATTTTTATTTTTATTAAATTTAAGTTTTAAATGAGTTAAATGACTATATGCAAACCTTTAGTCAAGTCTAGCTATGAGTGACTAGTTTAAACAAATAAACTTAGCATTACTCATAAATGAATGTATAATTTTCATCAAAATTAATAAAACTCGCTCAATGTTATTTTAAATATTCAATAAATAAAATTAAAGTTTAAAATTTCATTTGGTGGAAAAATTTCCTTGTTGCTTTCAAATATAAAAATTTTTAATTAAAAAATATATACTGAAAAGTTGTTTTAAAAAGTTCTTAAAAAAAATTATGGTTTCGTTTGGGTTAGCTTTTTTGCTGCTTTCTAAAACAACTTTTTAAAAAATTTTGTACTAAATAGCCGTTTTAGAAAGCAGCAAAAAAATTGTCCCAAGTGAAGCCTTAACCCATTCATATAAGTACTTAATAGATATTTAAATTAGCCAATCCAAACCCCTAAAGCATTCATGCTCATCAAAGAATGAAAGGCAACATAGCTCATTTACAAACTAGAAAGCCATGAAACAATTTGTTCCAACTCTTATTATTTCAGTATAACAGAATCAAATTACAACAGCAGCAAAGCCCTGATAGAAAAAGATCACTTTACAATAAACTAAATAGATTCACATATGAGAGATCTCATCCCCAAATTAATTGATCAGGAAAATAAAAACTCCACTCCCAGCCCTTATAAACTCAATAAAAAAAAATACAAAATATAAAAAAAAAAAGAGATAAGCAATTAAAAATTAAATCACAGGTAAATTTAAGCTTATAATTAATGAATTACTGGTGGAAAATGTAGCTTGCCTATCAAACACCATTTGCAGATTCACTCTTCTCGTTTGCTGGTTTTGTTGCCGTTGGGATATCAACGGTAACCCTAGGCAGGCAATTTTCATCAGATGGCTCACCAGTAGCTTCTGGAATGGCTGAATTCTTCAAAACTGGAGCAGATTCCAATGGCTTCTGTAATCTAGTGTTCGAATTAGCTGTTTCCTTGTCTTTCTCACCAACAGGTTTTGTTATTTTAACAGCAACAACCTGCCCATAACAACAGAAGTGAATATTTATTTATATAACATCTTAGTGTCTGATAAATCATTTAAAAATTAAAGTATGCAACAACATTATCTAGTCTTTATCCCACTACATGATATCGACTATATGAATTATTATTTTTTTCAACTGTCTTATTAAAAGTCAAATTCTATTAAAATATTATATGAATGAATGTATCATTTTGGTTCCAGATATATATGCTTCGTTTGGAACAATCATCTTCCTATTTTTTAATGTAGTTTTTTAGTACAAAAATTTTTTGAATCAGAAATTTCTGTACTAAAAAGGAATACGAAAGCTGCTATAAAAAACAATAAGAAAGCTGTCTCAAATGAGGCAATATTTCCCCAATAAATGAAAATTACATACAAAAACTAGGATTTGAATATGAAAATAGAAAGTGCGGGTTATACGTTCAGGTTTCGATTGGGACGGCTTTTTTACTGCTTCTTAAGACTGCTTTCTAGTACTAAAAATGTCTTAAGAAGCAGGAAACAAGCTGTCCCAAACAAAGCCTCAAACACTTAAATTTGTGCATGGATGAATTAACGCACAGAAATAAAATATGTACTAATTCGTAAACATGTATGTAGCCACCAGAAAGGAAGACGTCTGATGATCAAAGCATACCTGCTTGTTATGCTGCTGTTGCCAAGCCTTTCTTTCTAGCATCATCTTCTGTCTAGAATCATAAAATCGAAAATCATCCAAGATGGATGCATTGCTTACATGATCCTTGAAAATTTTGAGCATCTGAAGACCCTGCTCAAGTTTCACCTGAAATAAAGACAGAGAGAGGACTGATAATCAAATGTAAATTTTAATAAAGTTGAACTAAATGCAAGCTTACTGAGTACAAAGTTGAAATGCAAGTCCTTAAACTTAAAATGATTGAACTTTGAGTGAATGAATAATCAAAATAGTTGCTAAACATTTTAGATTTATTATAAATTTTTTTCAGATATTCAATTTAGCCCATCAACTTTGTTGCTGCTTTGCATGGAATTCGATGGAGGGAGACTTTTCTGAAGACTTTTTGGGGTAAATCTTAATATTAATATCAAGCTCAAGCTCAAACTGATAAAATTGAACATAAAGTCTAAAATGCTCCCATAGAATGCACCAATCCGTCCAATGAAATGATAAAGTAGACAATATAACCAAATTTATTTATATTTTGATGAGTTAGTGACTAAGGCTTCGTTTGAGACGACTTTCGTACTACTTCTTAAAGCAGCTTTCTAGTACGAACATTAATTTTTTTTATTAAAAAGCTGCTTTAAGAAGCAGCAAGAAAGCTGCCCCAAATGAAGCCAAAATAGAAGTTCCGAAGAAGTTAGCAACTAAAATGAACACACCTAAAAATTCTAAGGATCAATTTGGGAAGTTATTGATTGGACTTTATACCTCCTGAGTGTCTCTGCTATTCGTCACTGGCTTGTTGTCATTGTACTCTAATGTTATGTGCCTCAAAATGTGGTTAGGAACGTCTTTGAAAATATGCCACTTGACATTAAAGCAACCAATCCATTTGTCCTGCTGCCAGTAATTAACAGTTTTATTGAAATCAACTGGCCCAACCATCTCTGCAACACCAACAAATTGCCCACTTGTATTTACCTGCGAATTTTTCAAGGAAAAAGATTAGACATCGAAAGGGGCTGATCCAGTTTTTTTTTCAAGGTGGGCATTTTTTTTTTTTTTTTTTCTTTTTTTTCTTTTTTTTTTTTTTTTTTGTGGGGGATGGGCATAGACGTTTATTATTGATAAAATTAGGGCAAAAAAGATTTTTGAGGGGAGGCAAAATACCCAAAAAAATATTTCAAAATACACCTCTAAATTATTTTTTTTTTTTTTTAGTACATGGGGGATCCGCCCATGGACGTCGAACTGGAAGGAATTAACGAGTTACAAACAATTTGATGCTTACAGAAAAAAACAGAAACACTGGGCATCCATCAGGTTTTTCCATCGCTTCCTTGTAAGCAGCATCAAGCTTCTTATTCCCACTGGGGGTGCTGGTCCAGACACCGTACTTGATACTCCTGTGAATGTCATCTTCACTATATGATTTGATTATAAAAAACTTGGCATCATTGTAACTTTCAGGAAAATCAGCTCGGTTGTATTGCTCTCTGTTAGGAATAATACAAGGTTCCTCAACTATTTCATTTGTAGGAACAGGCCCGTTCCGAATTTTAAAGCGATTTGCCCTGGGTCCTCTGCTCAACTCACTCAGGCCATCGAAATTCTCATAGCCATATCCATAATTTCCATAAAAATTCATTTGAGAATCAAATACCTTTGATCCAAAACCAGCCCCATCTCTAACTGCAGTACCATTCTGGCCATGCAACAAACTCGTAGGGTAAATCCTATTCATCGTAGGGACTGTTCTTGGAGAATTTAAAACCTGCAGAAACATAATTTATACACTTCAAGGTGGATCATAAACATGCTATATGATCTTCATATGAACAAAAAGTACAGACAAAAAACTTGTTACATAGTTAACATTTTACATAACTACATAATAGATTAGATTAGAGAAACAATCAGCACTGTAGAAAGTAATAAAGAAAGAATAAAAAAGACAAAAACTAAGCTCATGAAATTGCTGATTTAGCAGAATAGAGAATCTCATAGCCTCAATTCATAATTTTGCAAGACACAAAACATATCATGAGTTCAGAGAGTGATCATACATTCTGATTTCTTGTTGATATGGAACTAACATTATGTGAAGCAGTTGAAGACACAGTATTTGGTGTAGCTGAATTGAGATATGGATTAGTGGATGCAGGGCCATAATAGCATGTAATTGGCGATCTCATTCCATCGAAACTCAAACTTGGATCCTGGTAACCCGAAAAGTGTTGCCCAGAAGATAAAGCACCTCCACTATAAGAATCATTGGAAGGAAATAATGAACTTTGTTGGCTATGCCTTTGTTGGAGATACCCACTGTTCCCATTTACAATCACATTTGAATTTGATCTGCCTGAACCAATATTTACAGAAGGCTGGCCTACAGCTACTAGTGGAGGTAATTCAGCAGGTTCGGCCTGAGATGCAGGGAAATGGTTGGAAGAGTAAAGTCCATTGGGAGGTGCTTGTGACTGGAAATACGGAGGAGGATACTGGTAATGTTGAGATCCATAAATTATGTTATCATGTTCCAAAGATGGAACAGGGGAAACAGAGCAAGGGTACGCACCATAAGGTGCAAATCCATAACCATGGTGGTAAATATCACCATAAACTCCCTGTCAAACACCGCAAATACTCAGCAAGATAGTTCATCTCATAAAATTGAAGAACATAAAAAATAACAAAATACTGATTAGGAAAAGGCATAATATTAAATTTAATCCTTGATGCATGGACCCTGAATCATCTCCAAATGGAGAATCCTTGAGTGATAAGGTACCATCACATGATCACTAAATTCCAATGCTTAATGAATAAAATTCAATAGACAGTTTATGGCAAGGAATCTGCAATGTGCCAATACAAACACAAGTATACGAAATAGCACAATACGGATACGAGATAAGCATATTATTGAGAATGGTAAGACACGGATAAGCTTTTGACATGGCATTCTAATTTATACATCTTAAAAATAAAAATTATATATTCCAACCCATTTCATTAATTTCATTATATTTTAATTGACTACCCTTTTCAAAGATAAGAAGAATGGAACAACTTAAAAAAATACATAACTAATCATGTTTGCATGAAAGGAAGATGAACTGGGGGGTTGAGGTCCTGATGTGTCCTGATGTGAGGGAGCTAGAGAGGTAATTCGGTGATGGTTCAAGATATATTAATTGGACATGTTTCTAAGGTTAGTTGAATACTTTTCTCTGTCCTGATCTATCGAACACTGAATACTATTTCTAATAGTGCGTTGGTGCTTCATAGCAAGAAATAAATTGTATAGTTCATTACAAATTTATTAAGATGGACAACTCACATGTGGCATCTCAACTCCTTCGGAGTTCAAATAGCCAGAATAGTCATCCCACTCGCCCGTGAAACCATCATAACCTGAAATTTCAACCAAAATAATCAATTGAAAACACAAGACGCCCATAAAGTGAGAAAAAGTTTTTACGAAACTTCAAAAGTAGGAGCAAAAATGATGGAGCATATATCCAACCACAAGTAAAAAATTGGACCAATATGCGTGATTACGTGAAATAGTAGCAATCACAAACCTAAGAATAGTTCCAAAAGTTATGGATGAAATAAAACCATGTACAAAGAGAAGATCGATAATCAAAGTGATGTCGACATGAAAAGAATTAATCCCACCTCCTATGTAAAAACCTGTGGATGGGTATCCATTGGGTATGAAGTACACATTAGGATCCATATACCCCGGAATCACAGGGGTTGAAGAACGCTCCAATGATGTCATCTGAAACTTTGGAGGTTGCCCAGCATTCGCAGGTCCATACTGAATTCCAGAGGGCTGTCCAATTCAATTATTTGGTATCACAAAACAATACAAAAGAGAAAACTCAATCAAATGATCTCAAAGAAAAGCAGTTTCAATAACAAACAAACCTTCTTGGCCATCACTGGAGCATCACTGCCATTGTTCTTTGTCTCCACCGATAGCTTCTGCATTATATCTGTAGCTTCTACACAAGACTTATCAAGGAGCAAACCATATCCAGCATTAATTCCATATTCGGGATGCAAAGTAATCTAAAAAACATAAGAAAAAACAGAAGCGGGAATCATGAATAGGAGATGAACCCAGATTCGCAATCCTCTATATACCATAACAAAACCCTCGAAGCGTAAAAAACATGCTGTTTAAACACCACGCGTCGAATTAAAAGAGCCAATAAAAACGGGATCTAAATTGAAGCGAGAAAAGAGGAAGAATCCGGAAAAAAATTAGGTTAACGAAGCATGACAGAAAGGATACGGTCAACAGAGGTTGCAACAGCCGACATAGTCGGATCTGTCGTGGCGTCGCAGGGCGAAGGAGCACAGGTAAATCCTCGAGAAGGAGGGAAGCGAAGAAACAGGCCGATAAAGCAAAGAGAGTATAATAGAGTGTGGAGAGATACCCTGGGAGAGAGAAAACGAGGAAAAAACTCAAAGGAAAGAGAAAGAGATTTGGTCTTAATAGATCTTTAAAAATATATTTTTAATATTTATTATTTAATTTCATAATATATTGATATAAAATTACCTATAAATAGGTAAATTAAATGAATAGCAAAATTAAAATATTATAAGTAAAAATATCTTAAGTAATTGGTATGAATTATAATAAAACATATTAGAGTGATAATGAATAATTTTAATAACTCTTAACATCCCTCATAAATTTCTTATATTCAGACGTATAAGTGTTTGACTATCAAGAAGAGAAAATATGTCACGATTTGCTTAAAAAATTTGCAATATAAAAAAAAAATAAAGGTAAGTCAAAAGTGCCACACTAAATGTGATGATGATTAATTTTAATACGCTCAGTTCTCTTACGAAAAATTGAGTTGAGCAATTAAAACGGTGTCTACATTATCAGAGTATATATGAAGAAAATAGAATACACTCATATAAATAGTAACCATCATAATAAAATTATCTTCGTGATAGTAGGAGCTAAAACAGTATGCTCAATTGAAAGTTTGATTTGTTTGAAAATATTTTCTTCTTTTTATTTTTTCATTTTTTTTTATTTTCTAACAACAATCAAATCCAAAACAACCTCAAAGTTTTCACTTATATTTATGAGAAATTAAAAGTGCAAGAAAGTAAAATGCCGAAATTAAAATGTGGTAAGAAAAATAAGAACGAGCACACTAGAAATTTAAATTGGTTTGGTCAGCATTAACCTAGTGCACTTCTCGGAGTCCTCTTCGGATATTATACTAAATCTTTAGTGTCTCTCATTTTTCCCCTACACCAAGGCGGATAAGCTCTTATAAATTCTCTTCCACTAACCCGGTGCGACCGAGTAGCCGAACCCCTTTCACCAATGGTGGGATTTCCTGATTACAATTGATCATCCTATACAATTAGAATCGTACAGTATGATTATCTCAAATTAAATTTACTTAATTAAATATCTTAATTAATTTCTATTTTAATCAGATCATACAGTATGAACTTCATTAAAAAAAAAAAAGTTAACACATTTAATTTAACTCAACCCATGTATATGTGTACGGTCACAACGCCAACGTACACCTTTTGTAATATATTAACTCAATAAGTATTAAAATATAGACTATTGTAAAAATCAATCATATATTACTCAATTTTAAGCCTGGTCTTTTGGTATTGCTTGGTGTGTGTTGTACCTGAATTGTTAGTACACATACAAATATATGAAATAATAACAAATAAGAGAAACTAGATAAAATTCAATAATATTTGTTATCATCAAAACATAAGCTCGGGCTCATGGATTGCAACAATCTTCTCATTTTTAATGATGATAAAAATTATTGATTGCATTATAAATTAATTTTATTTTCCTACTAAGTTCTTCCCCTTAGTGATATCCTTTTTTTAATAAGGAGAAGGTTTTTTCTAAGAACATGAAAAATATAACCAACACACGACAACAAGAAACAAACCAAACTGCACAAATGATAAAAATAAAACCAACAAATTCCTACTTCCCCTTTTGGCATCATCAAAAAGGAGAACTGCAATGAAAAACAAGAACAAATAGACGCTACAAGGCACAAAGTATTAAAAGTACAAAGATTATAAGAATCAAACAAACTACATAACACGCTACTCAAAAGAACATCCTTGATAAGATGGTGGTTGTAATAGCATGTATTTTTATCTAAGCAAATAAATTTTTTAGGAGTCATTTTAAGCCAAATTTGAAAATCATCTTCACCATAGCATTTACATTGTAGTATTTTAATTACAGAAATTTTTTCGTAATTTTTAGGCTTTGCTACAAATTCTTAAAAAATTGACACTTGTTGGTACACATGGAGATTTTGAGACTGTTAGATGTCCATTTTTCAAACTGATTTAACTAATATTTATTTTAATAAAATGATTTATTTTATGAATATTTTTTATAATTTTTAATGACCTAAAATAATTTATATGAATTGTACATAAAAAAATGGGTAAAATTAAATAGTTATATTAATATTTTATTATAAAAAATTTTGTAAAAAAAATAGTAAAAAAGATGTCCCAAACGAAGCCTTAAAATTAGAGGAAACTCACTTTATTTGACCCGTATGCATACTAATTGCTAACAAATAATTCTTTCTTCTTTTCTTTTTTTTTTTTATTTATTTATTTGAAAAGCATACATGTAAAATCTCTAAATTTTTTTATGAAATATCTATACATCAAAGGGAAAAAATTCTAATAATTTTTGGCTATTTTTATGAGTATTTAAGTTTTAAAATAATTTTAAATATAAAATTAGCAAATGAGAAATCAACAAAGTTGTTGATATTAAATTTATTAACATATGAAATGATAATATTTTATTATGAAAATCTCA